CTACTTTTTCTTTCTACTAACAAAACCCTCACATATATCTCTCTCATCCCAGACTCAAATGAGCAGGTTTCCTCATCTTCTCTCCTCTTGCCTCTAACACTATCCCAAAGGGAATAACTTCTAGGATGGATGATATATTCCATACTCCATGGAATATTCCACATTCCATTTAAGCATTGACCCCATACAGCTTAATCCACTCAGCCTACCCTGCCACCTTCCCCTATCACAAAACCTTTCAATTTTCTCTACTAAGAAAGTCCTTTCCACTATAATGGCTGTGACGGAAAAGAGCAAGAAGTCAGGACAGTTCAATCAGTTTTGTGACCCTGGGCAAGGTACTTCCGTTTCTTGGGCCTCAGTGTCCTCCACTGTAGGATAAAAGAGATGGAACATCTCAGATGTTCTCAGTGTGCTCCTTAAAGCCCTAGAAGTTCCAGAGCCTCAACAGGGATTGCCAAAGAAAGGGTGGCAGCTGACAAAAGGCTTTGGGTGTACCTCTTCTCTCCGTTAATCAGAGCAATTCTGAGCTTTTATTTTATATATAGCTTCTGATTACATTTAAGACAGGTTCTTAAAAAGTCTGAAAACAGCTTAGCATGGCACTTGGCACTCATTTAATGAATGAATGAAAACCAAAGGGACTGGGATGATCTCTAAGATCCCTTTCAATTCCCACCTACTATGCTTCTGTGGCTGCTTGAATTATAGTCAAGTGTTACCTGTCTGCCTGTGTGCAAAGGAACCAAGATAGAAGTCTTCTGCTTGTTCCTTCATTTTGGGACAAAAGAATACCCAAGGTTGATTCTAGAAAGTAGTTCCTTATAGCCACTGGGTATAAAGATTCAAATAGCTGGATATGGAAGAACAAGTAGGAAAAAAGAGGTATATGGTTTAAAAGACATTCAAGTCTATATCTTTGCAGTAGCAGAGTCCAAATGTAAGAAAAGTGACACAACCACAGGTTAATAACATTCTACCCCTTCAAAGATAAATTAAAACATAAAAAGGTCAAAATATATCCTATATCCCACGAAAATTCTTCTGAACATCATCACCACAAAACATTCCAATTTTGTAGCTAAGGTTTTTAGCTAAGCTAATTAGCTAAGCTAATTTGTAATTAAGGTGACTTAGACTTACTCTGTGATTTTGGGGTCCAGGTTGCCAATCCATAATCGGTGCCCTTCCTGTAGAGAGCCCTCTGAAAGGATGGATGCGTTCTCCAGGGGAAGAGTTTTAGTTTCTGCTTCCATCAATCTCTATGAAATACTAAAAGAAATGTGAACACTCAGGCAGAAGAGTAACACAGTGTGAACATGAGACTTCAAATTCAACTCAACAAACATTTATTCAAGGAGGGCATGCCCTCTGGGCAGTCCTTCAAAGGCTTCAGTTATTCCACAACCAGGGCCCCAGAATCAGTTCCCTTGGGACAGTTCCTCTGGCAGCCAGAGCATAGAAGCTGCCATTTAAGGTGAAAGGGGCGTGGTTCTATGTGGAGAAACTAAAGTTTTCCTCCTCTGAAGCCAGAGGCTGACTGGGCAGGAGGCCAAATTCTCTATTACTACATGATACTACAGTTCAACAACTGTCACCCAAAATAAGTCTTGGAAACCACCAGGAAGCGGGAGTCTTAAGAGCATTAAAGGGGACGGGTACAGAAGAGCAGCATTATATCCCTTTTCCTCATGGAACAGGCAATATAGCAAAGGAAAGAGGCAATATGGAAATTCTGTGCATAGATTTTGGAGTTAGAACTAGGTTTGAAAGTAGGTTGTGTGAGTTGGTGAATTACCTGAACTCTTTAGGCCTGTTTCCTCATATATATAAATGGAAATAAAGTTCTTATTTTATAAGGTTGTTGTGAATATTAAAGATACCACGTCAAAAAAAAAATCACTAAACACTGTACCTAACAGGAAGTAATCAATATACACAAGCTATTATCATGGTTAATATTTTATGAAAGACTGGAAAGAAGAGACTAATTTACTTATTAGTTACTCCATTCTGACATTTGTTAGCTGTGTAAATAATCTTGGGCAACTTATTTAAGTACTCTTTGCCTTGATTTCTTCACTTGTAAAATGGGTATAATACATCATAAAATTATTAATATTGTGTGGATTCACTGAAGAACAGTGCCTTGCACCTAAGAAACATTCAATTAATGTTAGTTTAAATTATTACTAGTCTTTAGCCAAAATGAGTGAGAGTTATGATAGGGATAGCAGTGGAAAGAGCAGAAAGCTTGGTGTCAGAAGACCTGCTTTCAAACTGTGGCATTTCCACTGGAAATCATCTCTCTCTGAGCTTTAGTTTTCTCATCTTTAAATAATACATTTTTGATACCTGAAGACTGGACAGAAGAAATAAAAATAAATAAAAAAAAGAAAAAAAAAATAATACATTTTGCCCTGCTTATAATGTAAGGTTGCCAAGAGGGCTGAAAATGAGATGACAGATGTAAAATAAAGCTTTAATAAATGTATAATGTGGTAGAGTAAGAAAAGATAAAGGGCCTGGGAAGATGGTAGGCTGTGCCAGACTTCAGAAGTGCCTGCTAGAGAATATATGGGTCCTATATATCCAGAAGTGTCTCGGAGGTCAGCACTGCAGGAACCATGTCTTTCTAACAGGTGAGCGGTGCATGGTGGCTCATGCCTGTAATCCTAGCATTTTGGGAGGCGGAGGCAAGAGGATCACTTGAGGCCAGGAGTTCAAGACCAGCCTGAGCAACATAGCAAGACCCCCATCTCTACAAAAAATAGAAAAAATTAGCCAGGTAGGGTGGGTTGTGGTAGTCCCAGCTACTCTGAAGGCTGCAGCAGGAGGATTGCTCAAGTTTAGGAGTTTGAGGTCGCAGTGAGTTATGATGACACCATTGCACTCTAGCTCCAGCAACCAAGTAAGACCCTGTCTCAAAAATAAACAAACAAACAAACAAAAAAACAGTTGACATACATTGACACTGCCAGCACCTCTTATTCATCTCACCCTATAAACCCAAGCACACACAGTCTCTAGGTAATTGCTGAACACATTTCTCTTCTCCCAGCACATGAGAGTATTTTTTTCCTTTCCTATTCACATCTTCAATATATTCAGCAATGTATGACAAGCAAGTAGGTACTATAAATCCTGGGCTATATACCAAAAACAGAAAAACAAATAAGCTCTTGCTTTTACACTTCCTGAGAGAAAGGTGAAACAGGCATAAACAGAATCCAGGGTTGTAAACAGGAGAGAAGTATTTTGTCTTCTCCTTGATTTTCTTTCTCCCTACTTTTTTTTTTTTTTTTTGAGACAGAGTCTCGCTCTGCTGCCTGGGCTAGAGTGCCGTGGCACCAGCTTAATTCACAGCAATCTCAAACTCCTGGGGTCAAGCAATCCTTCTGTCTCACTCTCCCGAGTAGTTGGGACTACAGGCATGCACCACGATGCCCGGCTAATTTTTTCTATATAGTTTTAGTTCTCCAGTTAATTTCTTTCTTATTTTTAGTTCTCCAGTTAATTTCTTTGTAGTAGAGACCAACCTTGCTCTTGCTCAGGCTGGTCTCGAACTCCTGACCTGGAGCTATCCTCTCTCCTCGGCCTCACAGAGTGCTAGGATTACAGATGTAAGCCACCGTGCCTGGCCTCTACCTACTTTCTAAAAAAACAAATCATTTGTTTAAAAAAATTTATTGAATTTCTATTTTCTAGGCATTCCCTAGTTACTTCAGTCAGAGAGGTAAATAAGCAAGGTCCCTGTCCTCTGGATGCTTATATATGGAAAGGGAGTGAGACAAAACAAAAAGGAAAATAAACAAGATATAATTTGTGATAAATGCTGCAAATAATTAAGCATGGTGATATAACATGAGGTTGGGACTAGTTCTGAGTGGAGGAAAGACCTCTCTAAAGGAGATGACATTTGAGTTGTGACTTCAATGACAGGCCCTTCTCATTTTCTTAAGCATAAAAACAGCAATAATACGAATAGCTACATAATACCACAAAAAGGTATCATGTTTCAATGGGAAGAGTGCAGTATATAAGGATCTGGATTCAAATCTTACTTTTGTATCTAGTATTGTGTGTCTTTAGCAAAGTCACAAGATCTCCCTTTAAGTGTCCTGGACACAAAAAGCTTTCCCTAATAGAGCCCCTTGCTATTCTACAGCATAGCTACCTTTTTCTTCCCACATAATGCCAATTAGCTGCGTTATTTAATGTTTTGGCTTCTGTTTCCCTCACTAGAATGTCTTGATCATGGTTCTATTCCCTGCATTTAGTACATTGCCTAGCTTATGGCTGGTGCCCAATATTTACTAAATGATGTAAGCCACTTCTCCACTCACAGCCTTTCTTCTTCCTTCCTAGAATGGAACTATTATCTCTAGCTCATGAAATCGCTGTGAGTCTTAAATAAGACAGTATCGGTGACAGCTCAGCACAGGGCTTTTTGAGGAACGATAAGGTGTAATAAAAGATCAAGACAGCATGGCAAATCCTTTGAGTTTGCAATGGCGACAATCCCTTAGATTAACAGAGTTCACAAAACGCTTTTACATCTATCCTCCCAGCTGAGCTGCAACCACCCAGGAAGCAGGAAGTCATTTGGAAATTAATTTAATTTGGAGAAGCAAAGGCACTTAATCCTAAAAGCTAACAGCAGGGCCGATCCTAGAACCCCGGCTTTCCGATTCCTGGCCGCGAATTCCCAGAGGCGAGGGGTCATTACTCGGATTGTTATTTCCGGGCTAGCCGCGGGACAATCCGGGGCGGGGCCTGAGAAGCCGTCCTGAGAGGGCAGCCTCTTCTAAGACCTCCTCGCGGGGCCAGCCCTAAGGTACAGGGACGCGTCGCGGCCGGACTCACCTCGTGGCCCCGGCGTTGTGCCCTCAGCTCATGCCCCGAAGGCAGGTCGCGACTCCGCGGACCAACAAACCTCTGGATGCGTCCGTCTCAACACCACCCGCTGCCAGGCCGCCCGTGACGCACTACGCCTGCGCCGCCGCCCCGCCCCGTGACGTCACTACGCAGGCGCCGTCGCCGCCGCCGCGGTCGCACGAGTCTTTCCTTAGTAACCTGGGCGGTAGCTGGTGAGTGTCCTTGACAGGGCCTCGAGGCGCGCGCGTGGTCCGGGTGCTAGAGACCCTTATTCAAGGACCTCTGGGGGACCTCAGGGGACCCGACTACTGCCTCTGACCCGTTCATTTCGAGTCCGGCTTGACTTTTAAGGCTGAGGGCGGGATCTGTGGCTTTAGAGCGAGTCTCATGGGGTGGGGGCGGGACTCACCGGCTAGGAATTTAGGAGATACGGAGCGGGGAAGGGGAGTCCTTACCAAATAGTTGCCGCTATTTATTAGCACCCTCTTAACAGGAGCATTTGAGTTTCAGAACAATCCCTTGGGAGTGTTATTATTTCCCATGTTGAAGAAACGGAAGCTCAGAGAGGTAATTTTACCAGGGTCATGCGTCTAGTATGATAGAACTTAAATTTAAACGTAGGTCTGACTCCAAAGCCTGAACTTTTAACCACTTCTCTGTGCTGCCTAGTGGCAAATCAGTTATCAGTTTAGTTGTTCTCCACTTACATAACCCAGTGCATACAGTGTTGTCATTTACATTTTACAGGTGAGATCGAGGTCCAGAGTTTGATCAGTCTAAGGTTACATATCTAGGGAGTCCTGGAACCACGATTCTTTGCCGAATCTTCTCTAAGCTTGGTGCCTTTTCCTTTAACAACCTATTGCATTTCCTAGAATCTCGGAGAGCTTTATAGTTGGAAAGAATGAAAACCTGGCCTGACCCCTTCATTTTATAGTTAAAGAAACAAACCTAGGTAGGAGAAATGGCTTAGTGCAAGTCACAAGTCAGTGGTGGAACTGCCACAAGTGCTTTTTGAATAGAGGTGGATGGCAGGAGGTGATGAGGTAGAAATATTGCAATCCAGCTTTCTGATGTCTTAATCAAAAGCTCTTTCTCCACCTGTTAAAGTGCCTTATCCCTTCTTTGGCCGTGTCAGTGACATAATGATTCTGTGTATAGTCAGATACTCTAAGAACCTTTATTTACATGACACTTAATTTAGAAAACAACATGCCCTGCTGTCTCTAACAAAAATCTGGCAAACCAAGAGAGAGTGGAGGCAGTGTTGGGAAGCCCAGAAAGGACCACTGGAAGGTTAGATTCCAATTCTGGATCCAGCATTTTGACTCTGGGCAAGGGCTTAATCTTTCTGAACTTTCATTCGTGTATTTGTCACATTTATACATTGTCTTGTGTTCAGGCACTGTAATAGGCACTGGTGTACAGTGAGCAAGACAACCTTAGACTAGTCCTTGTGGTGCTTTTAGTCATATGGAGGGAGTTAGACAATACTCAGTTATGCAAGTAACTTGTGTTGTTAACAGTTAAGTCCCATGATGAAGTACAGGGTGTTATGAAAGTGTACTACAGGACACCTGCCCTAGTTGGGTTGTAGGAGGTGGCCAAGGAAAGCATCATCTGAGGAAGTGATGGTTAACTGAAATCTGAAAGAAAAAATGGGTGGTAGTCAGTTAAAGAGGTAGGGGAAGATCATCAGGCAGATTCAATGGCATGTTTGAAGACCCTGGAACAAAAGGAGCATTTGAGAAATGAAAGATCAGTTTGCTTTTCTTGCAAAATGTGAGTGGTAATCACCACTTTTTGGTTATTTTGAGAATCAAATAAGATAATCATGTGGAAGTATTTTATATACAAAAAAGGCCTGTGTGTGTGCACACTCATATTTGTAAAAATGTACATATTATGAGCTAGTATACAGCTGGATTGGAAGGGGTTGCTGGGAGCCAGGACTTTGAGTTCATCATCTAGCTTTTTCCAAAATTAAAATATACTTCCAAGAAAGAACAGGACTCTCAACTTTGGAAAAAGAATGTGTCTTTAAAGTAGTTTTTAAAAAAATTTCAGCAATTGGACACTACAATAGCTACTATTTATTGTGTACCTACTAGGTGCCAGGCATTGTATTATACTTTGTTTTTTTTGAGACAGGGTCTTACTATGTTGCCCAGGCTGGCCTTGAACTCCTGAGCTCAAGTAATCCTCCCACCTCAGCACCCTCAGTAGTGAGGACTATAAACATGTACCACTAAGCCCTACTATACTGACTGTTTTAGGTACACAGTATACTATAGTGAGCACAGACTGTAAAGCTGGATTGCCTGAATTTGAATCATAAGCAAATTATTTATGCCTCCATTTTATCATCTGTAAAATGGGGATAATCATAGTACTTATAGGGTTATCATGAGGTTCAAATGAGTTAACGTATATAAAGCACTTAGAGTAGTTTCTGTCACATAGTTACCACTGTGTAAATGTTAGCTATTGTCATTGTTGTTATAATTAGTTTTTTAAAGGCTCCTTAATAGCACCATGACAATGTGGTAGAAACTGTAGCTCTGAGAGGCTGACAAGGTCACACAGCTGGTGAGTGGGGGAATTGAGATTCCAGTTCCAGACTGTGTCCAAAGCCCAGACTAACACCTCATTGCTTCTGTGTATAGGTTAATTTTGTTAGGGACTACTTGGGCTTATAACAAATTTCTTTCCTCAAGTTTAATTCTTTATCTGTGCTGAACTGAATGTATATGTCCTTAAGGTAAAGGATCCAAGGGACTGCCTTATTGAACTTCCACTTTGAAATTTCCAGACTTCTGTGCAATTAAAATCTATGCCTTAAGCGTTTCAGCAATGTGGTTTATTTATAGGGTTGTCTTCCGGTTCATGTGTACTGGGTCTCCTTTTGGGTGCTGTGTTTCTGTCAAAGGTTATTTATTTCTAAACCATTTTGATTTCCTGTTGCTTTGTGGGCTGGTATTATGACCCACAACAGGAACACCAGGAAACCTGTCTTAAATGGAGCAGCCAGATTGAGACCCTGTAGATTAAAAAAAACCCAAACCAAAAAAACTACACATTATTTTACAGCCATATTTGGTTATAAGGGTGAATTAGGCATTGGCTTTATTAGGAAAAAACCTAGATATAGAAACTTCACTCTGAGCCAAACTTTTGTGAACAGTTCTGATGAAATAGGTCTGGGCTATTATTAACTCCATGTCCTTGGCTAGTGACTTAATCTCTTTGAGCCTCAGTTTCAACATTGGTAAAATGGGCATCATTATACTTTCTCTTTGGCATTATTGAGAAGATTAGATGAAATAATACAGGTAAAGCAAACAGCCCAGGCCTGACCTCAATTAATAGTAGTTATTGATAATAGTAATTAAAGAAGAAAATGAAAAAATAGTCCTTCAATATTCATCCAGATCTGTTTTTGCAGACTTTGTATATTGATCACTGACTTTCCCCGATACTAAAAATTCCACCAGGAGAAATTATTTGACTTTATACTACTCATTTGCTTTTTTTTTTTTTTTTAAATAATGATAATAGCCACCTTTTATTAAGTAGCTGCTATATTTCAGGCACTGTGCTAGGTGTTTTACATGCATTCATTTACTATTTCATTTTATTTAAGATCAGGTTTATTTTTCTTATTGAAGAAAGTGATGTCCAGAAAGGAAGAGTGAATTGCCCAAAGTTGAAATTTGCATTCAGGTCTGACTGACTCTAGGCTACCTTGCACATTGTTAATGACATATAAATTTTCTTTAGTGTATCTGCCTCTAGCATAAAAGTCTTTTGAAAGGAAAGGTGATAGCTATCAATAAGTATCATTTTGGGGGCTCCTGTCTGCTAGGCACTGTGCCAAGTATTTTACTTGCATAACCTCGTTAATTATTCCCAACCCTAAGAGGTAAGCATAATTATCCCCATTTTACAGTTGAAGAAATCAAGGCACAGGGAGATTCAGTATTTAATTGGTGGGGCTGGGATTGGATTGTAGCTCTTATTCACTCCATTATATTGCATCAACATTTTAGGATGGGATTTTTTTTTTTAATGAAGTGTGGGACTGATTTTTCAAAGATAGCACCTTCCAGGTTTTTGATGCTAATTGTTCTTAATTTTTAGCTGAGTGATAGCCAGATTCCTGGCAGAAGCATTGTCAGCTAGCTAGGACTGTGTTCTACCCCAGAGGTACCTGTAGGTGATAGCATCTTTCCATGGTCAAAGAATTCAGAAGTATAATGTGTAACTTGTGTTAACACTGTGGAGGGTGGCATTTTCCAGAGCTCTAGTTCTATACCATGGAAGACCTCAAACCTCGATCATGCTTTATACTTTAAAGTAAAGTGCATTCTAATTGGTAATCAGTGCATAAGGAACCAAAGAAAATGTTAATTAGATGCTGTCGTGTGAATTTTCCAGTCATTTTATGCCTGTTGAAATGTTTTTCTTTGTAAATTTAAAGTCCTCTTCTAGTCCTCTGTTCTCCCTCTTTAAACTTTATCAAGATTTTGTGCTTTTTCCCATATAAGGGTTTAATTAGCATCATTAAAGATTTAGTATGCTGCACATTTTCTTAACAGGCATTTTGGTGCAGTGGAAAGAGCATGAGTTTGGAGCCCTGCAGACTATGGGCAAATAACTTAAATCTCTGTGAGCCTCAGTTTCTTCATTCTGTAAAATGAGGCTAATAATATTTCCTTCTAGGGCTGTTGGGAGAAGGATTTGAGATAATGTATTTAAGTTGCCTAGTACATAGCTTAGTTTATAGGGGTTGCTTGATAATTCATACGAATTATCTTCTGAAGTTGCAGTAGGGTCTCTTACTTATATCTCCTTTTTGTCTTATTCTTTTTAGTGGATGTTCCTAAGGATTGTCTTCAGTCATGGCCTTGGGATTAAAGTGCTTCCGCATGGTCCACCCTACCTTTCGCAATTACCTTGCAGCCTTGACCAGACCTGTTTCAGAAGTTACACTGAAGACAGTGAGTGAAAGACAACACGACCACAGGCAATATACAGGCTTTTCAGCTGTCTCAATCCGCCATTTTGCTACCAAGAAAGCCAAAGGTAGAGACATGACCTCCTCTCCCTCCTTACCCCTTTTTTATATTTGGACCTTGAATTATCATAGCTGGCAGGGATCTCAGAGATGCACTGGATTTCTTCTTTTGCCCACATGAGGATATGGTGTCTCAGATAGGTCAGTTGATTAGCTTAAAAGGTCACAGTGGCAGAGACAGTGTTAGCACCTGGGCCTGTTTTCTCATTACCGTGCTGTCTCATTCGTTTTCTTGGTAGCTCAGAATATGCCTAATTTCTTTTATATTTAGAATTAGAGCTATAAGTGCCAAGCAAACCAGAATGCTTGTGGCTGGGATCACCATATTCTTTCCTTATGGGAAGATGGATGTTGGAAGTGTAATGAAAACCAGAAGATTATTGGGTGACTGGGGTATTAGAGCCTTAGATTTAGATGGATGATCTTAATGGCTTGTGTCATCCAAGAATGAGACTTTGATGTACTGCAGGTATCAGCTTAAATGCCACTTCCTCAGGGAAGCCTTCCCTGACCTCTTAGACTAGGTCAGGTCCCCTGTTACCTGCACTCGTGCATACTATTATTTTACCTTTGACACACTTAGAACAGCAGTCGTTAATTATTAATAATTGTAAAATTGATCATTGTTTGTCTTCTGTGCTGGGCTGGATGAAGATAGGGTCTATGTCTATCTTATTTAACACCTAACAGGGCCTGGCACATAGTATATATTCAAAAATTTTGTTGTATGAGTGACAGAAAATTGTCAAGCAGACTAGCTGTTTGTAGTGGTGGGTCAGGGAGTCCACTCCCAAAGATAGTGCTAGATATATGCTGCTGAATATTTTCCCAGACTCTCTTTTTCTAATTTCATATAGATCTTTCCCTTTCTGTTAATAGGACTTGTTAATAGGAAAATTAACAAGTTGCTTAAAGAACATTAATGTTTAGAACACTTATATTCTGTTAATAGTGATAATAGTAGTAACTTTTGATCTGTATGTTGCATTATATTCTTTAAAAGTTCCCATACACTTACCAATTAGATCCTAATAATTATCCACTGAAGGAATTATAATTTTCAAGTGAAGAAATCCTTATAATTATCTAGTGAATTCAGATCTTGCCATTTTGTAAATGAGGAAACTGAGGTACATTTGTGAGAAATTTGCCTGTGTTCATATCTAATTTTTAATAGTGGCAGAACCAGAAACCTGGGACTCTCCTGATACCTGCAGCATTGCAGTCTTTTAGTGCACTAGACATTAACCATAGTATGTAAGCAGCATCTTTTCATATTTTGTGGGCTATTTGGTTTTGTCTTCTTGATTACCTCTTTAAGAAGTTGGTTGCTTGATTTTTTTCTTTTAGATTTATTAGATTCTTTCTATATTAGGGGTGCTAATCTTTTGTTGATTGTATATGTTACAGGTATCTTCTTTGCTTTTTACTTTTTGGTCTTTGTTGAACATAGTTTTAGTATAGTCATGTTTTTTAGTTCTTTTGTTTATCATTATGCTTTTTGTGTCTTCTTTAAGAAATCCTTCCCCATCCCAAGGTAATTTATTTCTGAATATGGTGTGACGTAAGAAATCTAATTGTAACTTTCTTTTCCATATGGGTAAAAGTTATGCTAACATCATGTATTGATTAGCCCATTCTTTACTCATAGGTTTGTAATGCCTCCTCTGTTGTATGTTGTTTCTTTATATGTATGGCTTTGTTTCTGCGCTTTTAATTTTATTGAACTATTTATCTTTCCCTGCGCTCAATTCCTTACTGTTTGAATCTCGGTCATAAAGTCTACAAATGTCCTCACCACACACTCACTTTTTCTTCCTGACTTTCTGCTCTTCAGTATGAAATTTATGATCATATTGTCAGGTTTTTCCAGAAAGATCTTGCACAGTGTTTTATTTTATTTTAGTTAAAAAAAAATTTTTGAGATGGGTTCTTGCTATGTTGCCCAGGCTAGTTCCAGACTCTTGGGTGGGTGCAGGTGATCCTCCCGGCCTTAGCCTTCTGAATGGCTGGGCTTCTAGGCACACACCACCACTCCTGGCTTGCACATTTCGTTAATCAGGTTTATTTCTAGGGTATCATATCATTTTTGGCACACACACACACACACACACATATATATATATATAAGTTTTTTAAGTTATAACATATATACAGAAAAGCACATACTTAAATCGTAAAATTACGGCTCAGTGAATTTTTGCAAAATGAACACGATCATGTAATTGTCACCTAGATCAAGTAATAGGATGTTACTTGTATTCTAGAAGTGTCACTCATGTTCCTTTCAGTTGTCACTCTTCTGCTATATTGATAGATAATCCACCATATTGACTTTAACACTGCAGATTAGTTTTCTTCTTTTTGAACTCAGTGTGGATTCTTTTGTGTCTGGCTTCTTTTGGTAACAACCCGTTTGTGAGATTTGTCCATGTTGTATTTATAACCATTGTTTGAGTATTTTTCTTTTCTGATAGTATACTATTGGAGGTGTATACTACAATTTGGGTATTCATTCCACAGTTGATGGACATTTGGGTTGCTTCCAGTTTTGAGCTACAAGAAATAATGCTGCTGTGAACATTCTTGTACATGTGTTTTGGTGCACATATGTGTACATGTGTTCCCTCCTGTTTCTTTCCTTTCTACTCCTCTCTTTCACTGGCTAGGTAGGGACTCTAGTATAATTTGAATAAATGTGATTGGTGGTAATAGGCATCCTTGTTTTATTCCTGACTTTATAGGGAACAATTTCTTGTATGTTACTATCAAGAATTATGTTTGCTTTGCTTTTGGTAGATAATCATATTTTTTTCTCTTTTAATCTATTAATGTGGTGACTCAACATTGATAGCTTTTTCTGATGTTAAACCACTTTTGCATTCTTGGTGTGAGCCCTACATATATAGGAGATACACATAATCTGTATATATGTTGCTAGATTTGGTTTGCTATTATTTTAGAATTTTTGAGTCTGTATTTGTGAGATTAGCCTTTATTTTTCTTCCTTCTCTTTCTCCTTGATTAGCCTTAATGTAACTTTCTCATATTGATGAACATGACTTTCTAAGTATTATTCTCTGATTTTGATGTTAAGACTATATTAATAGCCTTATAATGTGAGTTGGGGAGTGCATCTCTCTTAATGGGGTGGTCTATAAAAATCAGGATTATCAGTTCCTTGCATGTTTGATAGAGCTTGCCTATGAAATCATCTGGATCTGATGTTTACGTGTGTGTATATGGACTTTAAATCATACATTTGATTTCCTTGATGATAATGAGAATTTTTTTTTTTGAGACAGAGTCTCGCTGTCACCTCAGGTAGAGTACAGTGGCATCATAGCTAACTGCAACCTCCTACTCTTAGGCCCAGGTGATCATCCTGCCTCAGCTTTCTGAGTAGCTGGGACTACAGACACGTTTCAAGAGGCTTGGCTAATTTTTCTGTTTTTAGTAGAGGCGGGGTCTGGCTCTTGCTCATGCTGATCTTGAATTCCTGAGCTCAAGCAATCCTCCCAATTTGTCCTCCCAGAGTGCTAGGATTACAGGCATGAGCCACTGTGCCTGGCTGGATTCCTGCTCTTTATTGTTTACTTTCTTCTATGTACTTGTTCACTTTCTATCCTCTGAGTTGGACAGTTCATTAAGTTTTGGCCTTTGCTATTTACTTTCTTTTTTTTTTTTCATTTAAAAATTTCATTGTAGGCCAGGTGTGGTGGCTCATGCCTATAATCCTAGCACTCTGAGAGGCCAAGGCAAGAGGATTGCTCGAGGTCAGGAGCTTGAGACCAGCCTGAGCAAGAGCAAGACCCTTTCTCTACTAAAAATAGAAAAAATTAGCTGGGCATGGTGGCATGTAGCTGTAGTCCCGGCTACTTGGGAGGCTGAGGCAGGAGGATTGCTTGAGCCCAGGAGTTTGAGGTTGCTGTGAGTGAGGCTGATGCCATGGCACTCTACCGGGGTGACAAAGCGAGACTCTGTCTCAAAAATAAATAAATAAATAAATCCATTGTATATGTTTAAGGTGTACAACATTTTGTTTTGATATACATATAGTGAAATGGTTACTTACTTTCAAACAAATTAACATACCCATTATCTTATATAGTTATTCTTTTTTGTTTTGGGTTTTTTTTTTTTTTTTGTGGCAAGAGCATCTCATATCTTTTTTAGCAAAAATCCCTAGTATAGTATTATTAACTGTAGTCCTCATTATCCACAGACACTTTGCTTGTTTCCGTATCTTGGCTATTGTGAATAATGCTTTGTTCCTTTCTTTTAAGCATTTAAGGCTATAAATTTCTGTCTACAGCTTTAAGTGCTTCCTACAAGTTTTTGATATATGATATTTTTATGATGGTCATTTTTAAATTTCTGTTCATTTCTCTTTAGTCCGTTGCATGTTTATTATTTGTGAATGTTTAAAGTTTCTCGAGCATATGGTTGTTTTGTGGTTAGCTTAATCCCACTGTGGTCAGGGAGCATATTCTGTGTGATACAGATTCTTTCATATTTGTTGATATTTGCTTTGTGGGATAGAACATGGTAATGTCATATAAAGATTCAACTACACAGTTGAATCTTTAGAGTATTGTGTATTCACAATCTTTAGAGTATTGTGCTTCAGAGTATTGCGTATTCTCTTACTGTTGGGTGTATGGTTCTGTATATATTTATTAGATCAAGGTGATTAATTATATTGATCAAATTTTCTATTTACTTTTTTATTTGCTTAATTTATCAGTTATCAAGGAAGATTTATTAAAAATCTCCTTGTATGATTATAGATTTATTAGCTTCTTTTTTTTTTTTTTTGAGATGGGTTTACTCTGTTGTCATGGCTAGAATGCAGTGGTGTCATCATCACTCACTGCAACCTCAAACTCCTGTGATTTACAGCACTTGACATTTTTTCCTGTGTACAGTAGGAACTTTTTAACCAATTGCTTATGGCTATTCTCTTATTTACTGAATGTTGACTTTCTAGCCAAGGGGAAAGGACAGTCCCAAGCCAGAGTGAATATTAACACTGCCTTGGTTGAGGATATAATCAACTTGGATGAAGTAGATGAAGAAATGAAGTCTGTAACAGAAGTACTCAAGGATAATTTCAATAAGACTCTCAATATAAGGACCTCACCAGGTTAGTGACTGAACCAATGTTTTGGGGAGGGGTGTATTGGAAAGAGAATGGTCTTGGCAGAATTGAGTTTTTTTTTTTTATTTTTTATTTTTTATTTTTTTTAGAATTGAGTTTTAATACCAGCTTTGTCACTTACTAACTGCTGACCATAGGCAGTTACTTTACTTTTCTGGTCCTCAGTTTCCTTGTTTGATTCCTACCTTATACCTTTGGGGTGGGTATTAGAATAAATAACGTAACATATGTAATAGTTGTAGCACAGTGTGTGGCACATAGCTGATGCTACATTTACTTATCCATTCAGCAAGTATTTGCTATGAACTAGGCAGTGTGCTAGTACATATCAATAGTAGTGAACAAAAATAGGCATAGTTTTTGCTCTCATGGAGATACGCTCTCAAAAAAATGGGAATTTTATTATCACTATATTTTATGTATTTATATTTTACTATAAAAACATCTTAAGTATTTTGTCGCACAGTAATTGACATCTTTGGTCTGATTTTTCTAGTTTGTACTATTTGATAGTTCTCATCCCTTATTGGGAACCAGTTGGCTGCAAACCTGTCCACCTGAGCCATTACTATGTCCCTGAGCTTGACCAGGAAGATTCCATTTGGGTTAATAACTTCCTGAAAGTGGCTTTTCTAAGTGGGAAATGTCAGAACTGTCTAGGAGAACTATTTGCAGATGTGATGGAGAAGTGAGTTGTCAGCTGATGGTGCAAGCAGGCAGGAAAAATCCAATTGCTGTTAAATTGGCCTTTTTGCAAATTGTCATCATCCTAGAGTGGAGCCTGGGACCCCCTCTGAAGGTGTCTGTGGGAGCTTGGGCTGCTCCCACTTACATCTTGATTGAAGTAGTTCATAGGGAAACTAGAAATATTTCATGAAGTCACTCTTAAGAAAACCAAGTGAAAAATGTACAGCTCCGTTTATAAACACCATCAGAAACATAGTTCAGAGATGAGATCCATTGTGAAACTAGAGGACCATTCCCATCATTTGTCAACTTTTGGACTGGGGCATTTCTGCCTTTGCTGACAGTAGAGCGTGCCATTCAATCTCTCTCAGCTGTTTATTTTAAACTTGCTTATTATTTTAGGTATGAAACTGATAAAGTGTTCTGTCTCCCCTGTGCTTTCTGGCCTGTTAACATTCTGCAGCCGAAACCAGAGAGCAGTTTGAGAGGAGCTCAGGGAGAAATGTGATACTTAAAATTAGCCAGCAAGCTCCACTCTTGTTGAACTTAAAAAGATGATGGGCCTGGAAAGAGGTTGGGAGTGTAATTTGTTAAATGTTAACCTCTGAGAAAATGAGGGGCAGGAATGAGGCTGAGGGAGATTCTCGCTGGGGACAGATTGAGGGAAAAGGATTTGATGCATTATGTCGATATAGATTTAGGGAATGGGAACCACCACAACTGCATACTGAAAAGCCTGTGTTGGGACTTCTGTGGCAAAGGATTTTATGGCAAATCAGGAAGGCCGAATTAAGATCCACTTTCAAAAGGCCTCCTGTTGGCATTTCCTCTTTGCTTCTTTCCCTTCAGGATTATGTTTGTTTAAAGTTCTGTGTAGAACTTGGGGCCTGTGAAGAGACTGGGTGAAAAAGGCTAAACTTAGTATTTTTTGCCAGATTCTTCTATATCATCTTTCATTACTGTCTGAGTCAGCAGGCACTTTTCCTCTTACACTTCCATTTGTCTACCAGCAGTTTCTATCTTCAAGATAGTTGACACCTTGTAACAGTTATCTAGATACAGATTTATTTGTTCATTCTTATCCTCTTTGCCTTTCATCCGTCCATGCATACATTCATCAGAACATTATTGAGCACTTTTTTTGTGTTGATTACTTAAATAGGTTCATTTGGCAAATTACTCTATCTGACTCAGTTTCCTCATCTGTAGAATGGTGGAAGTGATAATGGCTATTTCATGGGGTTATTATGATAATGAAAACACATGAATTATAGAAAGCATTTAATATGACATCTTGCTCATAGGAAGTGTTCAATAAATATGGGTGATCATTATTATAGAAGTGTGCATAGGATGCTTGGGGGCTCACAAGGTGGTCTCATAATCCAGCTTAGCAGATCAGATAAGATTTCTTAGATTAGATGCTACTATAGCTGAGTGTTAAAGAATGAGCAGGAGTTAGCAGAGAAAAGTGTTCTCAGTAGAAGGAGAATTATGCAAGGGTCCTGATTTAAGAGAGAACAGAGTGTATTGGAGAAATTTAGTTTGGTTAAACTACAGGCAAATGTCAAGAAATAATAATAGCATTTATTGGGATACTGCTCTAAGTGCTTTTCATGCATTCTTTCATTTACTCTCATAAAAACCCTATGAGATAAGTACAATTTTATGCCTCATTTAGAGATCAGGAAACAGAGGCCCAGAAAGTTGAAGGGATCTGCCAGAGTCACACAATCTGGAAGTGGCAGAGTTGATATTTGAACTCAGGTCATTGGTTCTCAGAATAACTTTTACCATTATACCTCCTGGACTTTGCCAAGTTGAGGCCAGTGGTATCAGTGTCCTTCTATCTTGGGATAACATTGAATTTGAGTACTTCTAATCAGATCTTTGGGCCATAGTATGGTACTGCATTGTTCTAACAGCATATTGCCAGGATAACGTCAATTTGTTTGAGACTCCTTTTCCCCCCTTTCTTTTTTTTTTTTTGAGACAGAGTCTCGCTTTGTTGTCCAGGCTAGAGTGAGTGCCGTGGCGTCAGCCTAGCTCACAGCAACCTCAAACTCCTGGGCTCAAGCGATCCTACTGCCTCAGCCTCCTGAGTAGCTGGGACTACAGGCATGTGCCACCATGCCCGGCTAATTTTTTTTTTTTATAAATATATATATCAGTTGGCCAATTAATTTATTTCTATTTATAGTAGAGATGAGTCTCGCTCTTGCTCAGGCTGGTTTTGAACTCCTGACCTCGAGCAATCCGACCGCCTCGGCCTCCCAGAGAGCTAGGATTACAGGCGTGAGCCACCGTGCTGGCCGGCCCCCCTTTCTTTTTGTGTCTCAGAATGAGCCATCCTTGAGTGGTTCCTACTGTGAATGGTAAGGTTTTTCCTCTAGTTCTCTTGCATAGGAAATCAGGGAGTTTGAATAATGCTCCCTTTTCCATTTGTAACTGTAGCTTTATTGCTTGCCTCCTTTGGTTTCTGAAAATTTACCTAGAATTTTCCAGAATACAGATATGGATAAAGATCAAATCCAAGATAACAATGAAATGTTAACAGTTGTGTTTTGTTTTAAATGGGCGTGTTTCTGAAGGGGATCTATGCACCAAAGTCAAGGTTGGTATAAGGGAATGGTTCCAAATCTGGCTGTGTGTCAGAATCATGTGGTGAAACTAGGGGAAAAAAATTACAGGCTCCCCTCAAATCGCAGGATCCCAAGCTTCTATAGAATCAGGATCTCTGGAATGGGGCCCAGGAATCTAATTTTAAAAACTCCCTGAGGAGTCTGATGTACAGCCAGATTTGAGTTGCACTTGTATAAGGAAAAGAGCCTTGATTGAAATCCGAATTAAGTGCACCTGAGTTTGGATCTGGGCTCTTGATTGTCTTTCCTTTTGTTAACTCTATGTTCTTGGCCCATTTATCCTTCCCAAGTCTTAATCTCTCATCTGTAAAGTGGAGGTAGTGATACAATGTTATAGGGCAGTTGTAATAACTAGAAGGGATAATAAGACGTACCATTTTTAATATTTTTTGGTGTCTGTTGTTGGTTGATTACATTTGGTTACAGTCCTTTAGCTACAATCCTCTCTTTACCTCTAAAGTAGTTATTTTTTGACTGAATTGGAAACCAAGGCACGGGGAAGATAAGTAACTTGCCCAAGGTTTCACAGTAAGTGGCGAAGTTGCTGCTGAGGGTTATCAACTCTTTTCAGTTTTAGCTTTAGAAGTCCTATGTCACAGGAAATCCCTTAAACCCCTCAGGTCCAGCTGAACCAGGATGGCTGGCCACCCTGGTTGCTAGTAAAGAATTCCAGCCGAGCTCTGTAAGCATTTTACGCTCTTACAAACACATAACACTGCTGCTTCTATGAAAGACCCTTGAACAGCTTTGTCACATAGATAAGGGGTCCCCAAATGTTTGTTGAATCTGAGTTAGCTAGGACTTAGATGTGGGGCTACTAAGGTCCTTCAGAATTCTAAAACTGTTTTTCTTTTAGGATCTCTTGATCATATTGCTGTGGTAACTGCTGATGGGAAGCTTGCTTTAAACCAGATAAGCCAGATCTCCATGAAGTCACCACAGCTGATTTTGGTGAATATGGCCAGCTTCCCAGAGGTAAGGTGACCTTGCTAAAATTTCTTTCCATGGTCTCTTTTGGAATGGTGGAGGCTGGGTCAGGTCAGGTGGAAGTGTTTCCTTCAGCTTGGAATGAAACAAGAGAGAAGACATAATAAAGGGAACTTAAGGATGAGGAGAAACTTTCTTTGTGTTTCTAAATTCTTTTTCTGTTAAACTCAGATACTAGAGAAGCTAGGCAAGTAATTTGAATACCGAAACAGGCCCCATCTAAAGAGAAAGCAATGATGGAGATGCAGTGATTTGTGCTTGGCCAACGTGGGAGAGCTCTGATAAACTGGAGGACATGTACCCTCTCTGAGGGGATGCCTCTGCCCAGCTCCTGCTGATCATTGCTAGGCATGAATGTAAGTCTGGTAATCAGTGTTACCTGCTATTATAATTTTTATTTCCAGAAGAAGCTAGTGACCCATACTTTTATGTGAGGTCTTGTTCTTTAAATGTTGATGACTAATTCACTTTTTTTTTTAAGACTATAAACAAATAAAACATATTAATGGGTCAGATATGGCTCGAGAGTCACCAATTTGTGACCTCTGTAATAGTATTTGGAGCAGACCCCCCACCCCCACCCCCCAGAATTCCTTTTAAACTAGACTGGCCATTGTAGAGTATTGCATGGAGCATGGTGCTTCCAAGACTGGAAGGTAGGTTGCAGTAGGTCATTGCAACCTTGAGACTTTATGATTTTAAGTCTGGTTGAGGGAGATATAATAATTGGGCTTTTCCTTATTGGTCCAGTAGGAATTGGCCTGGATGGGAGTCCTAGAGGACTTGGAATGGTCCAATCTCTATAGCCAATTAGCTGTGTGACCTTGAGCAGGTTGCTTCTCTGGGCCTCTGTTTCCTTATCTGCTAACATGAGGTGAAGGATTCTTCCTGTTCTGATTGTTCTAAGTAGTTCAATCCCAGAAACATAAACCAGATTTGGGCCTGCTGGATTTGACAAACTAGGCTAGACATAGGAGAAGGGGAAGCCCTTGCTTTGAGCATACTCTTTCAAATCAGAGAGCTCTGATAGCTAATGTGCCAGGTGCACCTGTGCTACTCCATTCTCTGTACTGCAGCCAGTTTTTAAAAATATATATTGGACCATATAATGATCTGCTTTAGATTTATCAGTGGCTTCAAGTAATCTAAAATCCTTACTGTGGCCTAGAAGGCTCTGCATGATTTGGCCTCTACCTGTCTCTCCAATCTTTCCAGTCTTGTGCCGCTGTCATCCTTGTACACTGCTCTACCACGCTGGCCCTTCAGCTACTCAGACACACCAAGCCCTTTGTATCTTCAGGACCACCACATTTATTGTTCCAGTTGCTTGGAACACTCTTGCATGGCTATTTGCTACTTGTATTTCAGATCACAGCTTAAATGTCACTTTCTCAGGGAAGCCTTCCCTAATTTATTCAATCTAATACACTAAGTTCTCTTATACAGCAACATTTTTTTCTTTATTACACTTATTACTGTTAATAGTTATACATTTATTTATATGTTTATTTTCAATTTCACTTTTACTAGATTGTAAGCTTAGAATGTAGAGATCATGTCTAACTTGTTTCTTGTATCCAGCACCAAACACAGTGCCTGGCACATGGAAGCAACTCAATAAACTATCTCGAATGGATAAATATTTGTCATTAGGTTGATAAAAGGGAGTTACTCATTCCATGTTACTGAGGAACAGAGAAATGGATGAAAAGGGAATTTTCCCCTCTTTCTCTTTGTGGGCCCCCTCTGAACCACTGCATATCTCCAACTTGTTCATCTAGGCACTGCAGGCCAATTTAGGGAATAGCCTCCTAATTACACAGCTTGAAGACCTCATCAGGCAGATTGCTTTTTAGAGCTAGCCACTTCTGTTATTAAATAGCAAATAGCATTCACAGAAGAAGCACCTGATTGGCTACCAGAGCATCTTAGGAGGCAGGAGGACGTATTAACAGCTTAATTTTTTCTTAGGAAGTTAGAGTATCTTCATTTTTCAACCAAAGCGTCTTTGCCATTTCTCCATGAGTCTTAAAAAATCCTTTACAAGCATCTCAGTAGAGGTTCTTTATTTATAGGGACAGTGAGGAAGTGTGAGTTACATTGTCTTTTGAATTCTTTTATCTCATTGAGTGTATATATTGAACAAATAGCTCTAACTAAGTATTTCCTTCCTCCAGCTTAGAAGCTGTCTGTAGAGTACCCAGGTTCATAGCTTCAAAATGCTAAGCTTCTCTGTGTTTATGTAATTCCTTTCTGTTTCACATACGGTTGGCTTTCTTTCCAAATCTGAGCCCTTTCTGTGTCATGCTGTAGTGACACGATGCAGATTTACATGCATAATCTTTTCAAATGCATTGAAGACAGAAAACTGTGTTGCATTTGTTTAACATGTGTCCTGCTTGATAAATGATACACACAGTTGCTGCCTTCCATAAATTTGCCTGCAGCTAGAGTTAATGATGGGAAAGAAAAGAAGGGAATAAAAACCACAGTATGATTTGAACAAAACAAGGCAAATGAAAAAACAAAACTCTGCAGGCTCCATTATTGTTCTTGTGGAGGGAGGAGAGCTGATATATTTTGAATGTCTACCATGTTGCCAGTCACGTTCTCATGTTTTGTTTCATATGATCAACACAGGTACTGTGTAAAATTAGGCATTATTTTTTCCATTTTATAGATGAGGAAACTGAGGCTCAGAGAAGTAAAATATCTCCCCAAGGTTCACATAGTTGTGATAGAGCTATGTGTAAATCTTGGCCCTGTTTGACATGAAAACCTATGTTTCTTTAACCATTCATTCATTAACACATATTGTTTGAGTCCCTGCAAATTTTTAGTTTCTATTTGAGGTGCTGGGGATTCATTGATGATTAAGATAGACTAGGTTTCTGTTTCTGTACACCTTACATTCAAGGGATTCATTGAGATACAAAGAAAATGGAAGGTCAGTAATTGATATGGCGCTAACAGAGTTGACTTGAATCCAAATTTTCAAGGATTTGTTTACCTGTGTACAAAAGTTTTATTTATTTTTTTAAGCTAGATTAGCTTAAGAATAGGAATGGCAGATATTGCTAATTGATCATGACATTCTTTCCTGCCTGACCCGAGATGGGGTCTATGATCTTTCTCAGCACATTACTCTGAGCAGCCACAGCCAGTTGGTCAGTGTCGTCATTTGAGAGCAATCTATTTGCCCTGGGATATTGTTGAGCATACCTTCCATGAGGGGATAAAGCCTAAGGTAAGAGATGGAAATTCTGTAGGAATGTGGGCCCTTTTTGTCTGAACCATGGGTAGTTCAGACGTCATGTTGGGAAGATCACTAATACCTTGAGGTTCTGTGTTCTACCATGTTAAAGCAAAATATACACATCTAGGATATCTTAGAACTACCTCTCAGTAGGTGTCTTCGAGAAGTGAAACTTTGATTCACATTTTTTCTGCATGTGTGAAAAGACAGAAAAGTTAAAATAAGATTTTGAGGGGTTATATACGTGAGGTAAAGGAGATGAGTTTTTCTAATAGCTCTGAACCTGGTCATTAATATATTCATTCAGCAAGCTTTTACTGAGCACTTGCTATGTACCTGGCACTCTGCCTTGTACTGGGAAGATGTCAATATTGAGACATAGTTCCTGCCCAACTTGGTGGTGTCAGTAGTGGTGCTCTTGTGCCTTCATGAGAAGGTTGTGTGGAAATACTTGTGCCAGACTGTGAAAAGGAGGTGGTGGTGATGGGGTGTTTAGTAGTGGATAAGTGGGAAGCTGTGGAAGAGGATTAGGAGGTTTGAGATTAAACTACCCCTTCAAAATGGAGATTCTTCTTTCATTGTTAACTTTAAAAATCTGTGTTTTATTAAGTAAGATGGCTGTTCTTTTGCAAAGAAAAATCAATTTCATTTCTTTATCCAGCTCTTTTATTTACCTTGGCCATACCCTTTATACACTAGACCTAATTCCAAATTATTTTTGGCTATTAAAAAAAAATCAAATCCCCTATGTCACAATTACTGAATTTATTGAGGTCAGCAGTCTGGAAAAAATATAGACAAAGTAACATCATGGGACTGAATCTCCTTTCAGCCTTTTGTTAACTCTGCCAGTAACTGGAAGTATGATGGTTGGGGTACTCACAACATTTCTCTTGGACTGTCAGGGAAGAGCATGTCTATGCTTAGGGATGTGACCTTATTGTACAAGTTCCTGTTAATATAATGAAGGAGCTGTGCTTAGGTCACAGATCCTTTCCAGCTCTGATAATCTGTGGTCAGAGGTACCATTTTAAGAATTTACTATTTTAACACATTAACTGCCATGAGAGTTGTATTTAACTCACTCTAGGTTTGACCTTCGGGCCACATGAAGCATATGTAAAGTCTTATTTGTTGATGTTTTTATTGTTACAATTAACATTGACAATTCTAAAAACGTGGGATTAAATAAATATAAGTCAATAAATTTCATTTTTCTATTTATGTTTACCTTTATTTATTTATTTTTTTTGAGACAGAGTCTCCCTTTGTTGCCCAGGCTAGAGTGAGTGCCATGGCGTCAGCCTAGCTCACAGCAACCTCAAACTCCTGGGCTCAAGCGATACTCCTGCCTCAGCCTCCCGAATAGCTGGGACTACAGGCATGCGCCACCATGCCCGGCTGATTTTTTTCTATATATATTAGTTGACCAATTTTTGTTTCTATTTATAGTAGAGACAGGGTCTCGCCCTTGCTCAGGCTGGTTTTGAACTCCTGACCTTGAGCAGTCTGCCCACCTCGGCCTCCCAGAGTGCTAGGATTATAGGCGTGAGCCACCGCGCCTGGCCTATGTTTACCTTTAAATTACACTTAAAGTTTTTATTCTGTTTTCTGACCTTTTTTGTGTGCAATGTGTTCAGCAGTGGCCTCACTGTTAGATTCTGTGTACAGCCTTCCAAGAGTATTGATTATTCATCTGTATGTGGAAGTTCTGGTTTGTCTTTTTAACCTTACAGTAATACCTCTTATGGATGTAAAATTAAAGTCATTTAAAAAAATTTTTTTTAGAGAGAGGGTCCCACTCAGGCTAGAGTACAGTGGATATTCACAGGCATGATCATAGCTCGCCGTAGCCTTGAACTCTTGGGCTCAAACAATCCTCCCAACTCAGCCTCCTGAGTAGCCAGGACTATAGACATGTGCCACCATACCTGGCTAATTTTTCTATTTTTTGTAGAGGTGAGTCTTGCTATGTTGTCCCAGCTGATCTTGAACTCCTTGAACTCCATCCCACCACTGGGGAAAAGTAAAATAGGTGTGTATCAACCACCATTCATTTAAATCAGGAAGTCTAAGGAGGAACTCAAGGCCAAGAATTGGCCTGTCACGTGGATTGGCTCAGTCAAATCTAAAAATTCTTTTGAAAATGTCAGAGTCTTTGTTTTCATGAATTCCACATTGTCATGCCAGTAAAAGTATCTCTTCCACACTGCTTTCTTGTTACCCTTTGGGATTGCATACCAGGTGTTGTTATAATGTTTGAGTATGAGGTTAGGTACCTTGGGAAATCAGTGTGCCAGTATGTCAACTGGCATATTAGCGAGCAAACCTGTCCGAGAAGCCCCTGAAGGATGTTGGGCAGGAAAGCAGTACTTCAGCTAAATGATGACATCAACTCTACCTTGTTTGAGGGTTTTATGTATTCTTACCTTTATATAATAAATGTATATAATATGTTTACCCAGTAACTGATCTCTGCTGGGTATTGCAGTATGCCAGGCACAGAGGAGATGCATTGCTTATGTTAATTCACTACCTCTGTGAGGTCTGGGTACCACGTGGTCTCAGGTTTTGAAATGGAGGCTCAAGAGAGGTCAAGCATATTGCCCAGGGTCACGTGATTATCAGAGCTGGGATTTGAACTGAGATCTTTCTGACTTCAAAGCCCATGCTTTTAACTACTGTACCATGTACTCCCTTTCTTGTAACATACACCAGCAGAGATTCATTGCTCATTCCAAAACATGAGTGAGTTTGGTGGGAGTGTAGATGTGAATGAGTTAAATTTATTTACTCATTCCAAATCGGCACTGGTATATTTTGAGTGTAAAATGTCAACTGGAATTTTTTAACATATGAAATCTTTCATCTGTCTTTACACCAATCTTTGCAGAGACCAGCCCCCCTCCCTTGAGGATTTATTGTGGTTTTGATCTGTGTTGCCTCAAACCATTGAAATCTTTTCAAAGAAGCAGAGCTGTTTTCTTTTTAGTTTTTCTTCTCTTTTCTTTTTTTCCTCCTGCAGTACACTGGTACCAGGAGTGGACATAGTTTGCTATTCAGCTTGATCAAAGCACTCTACACCAATGTAACTTCCTGATCTTACTGGTAACAGAACTAAATGTTTCCATGTTCTGCCAAGATGGGTTGCCAGTTATCGACAGAGGGCTTGCATCTGGTAATAATTATTTACTAATTCTGTTTACCTTTTGATCTGGTTTTCAGTGTACAGCTGCAGCTATCAAGGCTATAAGAGAAAGTGGAATGAATCTGAACCCAGAATTGGAAGGGACTCTAATTCGCGTACCCATTCCCAAGTAAGTTTGGCTGAAATGCACATTTTGATGAAATGGGGTGGTTGTCCTTGGATGGAAACCACTACCCTACTATACTCCTAGGGTGATAGTGTACCTTATCTGTACCTTTCATCCTGATAAACATCTTTTGCTGAGAACTAAATGATGAGAAAAGCCAGCCTAGGGGCATTTCAGGCAGAGGGAATAGCAAACACGAAGGCTCTAAGTCAGAAAAGACTTTGACACTTGAAATCTCTAATTCATAGTCCTTGAATAGTATCTTTACATTAATCCTTGCAGTTGAGGAGTTTTAGACATGACATAATATTGTTAATTAAATATATAGAACTTAAAGTATTATTTTTTTTTTTAGAGATGGAGTCTTGCTCTATCATGCAGGCTGGAGTTCAGTGGCCCAATCATAGCTCACTGCAGCTTCGAACTCTGGGCTAAAGGGATTCTCCTGTCTCAGTCTCCCAAATAGGTGGGACTATAGGCATGAGCTACCACACTTGGCTCTAGAACTTAAAATTTTAAATCAATAAAAATATATATTCACTTTTAAATTAAAAAAAAGAGAAAGACCTTGGCATGTTTGAGAAAAATAAAAACTAATGTGTCAAAAACACAGGGAGAGAGTAGTCAGAGAGGACGTTGGACTGCCCCATTGGCTGATGGTTTAGGCTTTACAGGGCAAAGGTAAGGAGTCTAGGCTTCATTCTAATTGTAATGGGAAGTCATTGGAGGGATTTAGGCAGGGGAATGACCTGATCGGATGTTGACTTTGTGAGGACCTCTCTGGCTGCTGATTAACAAATAGAATATAGGGGGACAAAGTGGACACAAAGAGAACAGGAGGCAGCTGCAGCAGTCCAGGTGAGACGTAAACCTCAGATTCCATAGCACAGAGTAGATGCTACACAGTGCCTCACATATAGCAAGGCCCAAATAAGTGTTGAATTAATTTGGTCAGTCTTTCAACAAATATTTATAAGCACTAAGTACATGCCGGGTACTTTCTTAATTGTTGGGATATAGCAGTAAACAAAATGAACAACAAATAAAAAGTCCCTGTCCCCTGGGGCTTACCTGATAGTTGAGTAGGTACAGTAAATAGAAAAATAAATACATAATGGTTGTAACGTCAAGTGATAAGGACAATGAAGAAAATTAAGAAAGATAAGGAAAGAGAGATTTGGGGGCTTTTTTATAGATAGGGAGCATCTGGAAGGAAGTGACATTTACACAAAGACCTGAGTGAAATGAATGAATGAAGCTTCCAGATAACTAGAAGGGAAAATGGCTGTTTTATTCCATTGTGTGCTCAGTACTCTGTAAGGCAGCATTAACACTGCACTTTGGAATCATGTGAATTGGGAGCAGTATAAACTAATATTTAAGAACCAGATAGACTGAGTTCAAGTCCGGTAGCTGTATGCTTGGTAAGTTCATTGATTTGCTCAGTAAATTTTCTGAGAATGTATATGTGCCAAACTCTGTGCTGGGAATGTACAGACCTGACGTTGGCCTTCATGGAGCTTGCAGGCTATGTGCAGGCCTCTTGTTCATAATGCCTCCATCTTACTTGTGAAACTTACTGTGAACCTCAGTTTATAGATGAAAAACCGGAATTTCAGAGAATTTCAGTAGCTGGGACTATAGGTGTGTGCCCCCATACCTAGCTAATTTTTCTGTTTTCACTCTTGCTCAGGGAGGTCTTGAACTCCTGGCCTCAAGCAATCCTACCACCATGGCTTCCCAAAGTGTTAGGATTACAGGCCTGAGCCACTGCACCTGGCCTCAAGATAAATTCTTAATAATACTAGGAGCAAAATGACTTGGCCAAGATCACAAGGCCAGTAAGTGGCAGTCAGGATTTAAATTCTAAGAGTTTTTCTATTACTTTTCTTCTGTACTCTCCGTGTAGATAAGTAATTCTGGAAAGTGCTAAGTGTACTCATGAACACTGGAAGCAAGATTTATAAGTATAATAGATAGTAGTTGGCAGGTTTATTTTCTAGTTCTTGCTCTCTTTATTTTATTTATTTTTTTTTTGACAAAGCAATGTAGTCTGATAGTTCTTGCTCTCTTATCTGTGAAACCTTGGGCAAGCCACTTAACCTCCCTGCACCTTGGTTTCCTCATATCCCAGATGAAGAGACCTGCCAGGTCCCTTCTGAAGCTCCAGAATTCTGTGGGTCTGTGAATTTGTGCTGCTAAATGCTCATTGCTGGATTCTTAGTTTGGACCAATTTTGTAACATATTTTTCTTTAAAAGATCTGGTTGACATAATGCACACTGCTGCAGCCCCAGAGGAGTTAACATTCAGCTTTAGTGCAACGTGTGTAAGTTTGAAGGATCAGTGAATTTAACTTGAATTTCCAAAGACATGGGGATCTGTTACATTATTTTTACATTATTTTAGCTTGGGTAATGGGTGTAATCTAAGAAAAAGTTGATGGACCAAAACCGTCTGCTCCTGCAAACCTCATTTTTTATATACTTTCTTCCCTTTGACAAGGTGGTGGGGTCAGTGAGGCCCCTTTCTGCATTATACTTTTGGTAGTTTTCCAGATAAAAAATGAATGATCTGTTCTTTATTATGGAGGCTGTGTCATGTGAGAGGATAAAGGTTGATTTAGAAGTAAGAAGGCTGAGGTTTTTATTTGGTTTTGGCAGTGACTTCGATATGACTTTGGGTACATCAGCCTAGCTGCTTGCTGCCTTCTTGTTCCTTATTTGTGAAGTAGTGCATAACGATAGGCAGAGATTTGGTGAGATAAACAGAGAAAATAAATTAAATAGTATGATTTCTGGCCAGGCACGGTGGCTCACGCCTGTAATCCTAACTCTCTGGGAGGCAGAGGGGGGCAGATCACTCAAGGTCAGGAGTTTGAAACCAGCCTGAGCAAGAGCAAGACCCTGTCTGTACTGAAAATAGAAAGAAACTGACCAACTAAAATATATAGAAAAAATTAGCCGGTCATGGTGGTGCATGCCTGTAGTCCCACCTACTAGGGAGGCTGAGGCTTTAGAAGGATTGCTTGAGCCCAGGAGTTTGAGGTTGCTGTGAGCTAGGCTGATGCCACGGCACTCTAGCCCAGGCAACAGAGTGAGACTGTGTCTCAAAAAAAAAAAAAAAAAAAAAGGATGATTTCCATAAAACTATTTAATATATAAATATAAGATACTAATATTATTTCAGTGAACTTTTAGCTTTTTATATGTAATTTTAGGAGAAAAAGAATGAGTGAACAAGGGAACTAATACGTTGAGTACCTACTCTGTACCAGGAACGGTTGGGTACCTGACATATAAGGAAAGCGGAAAAGTATAATGGTTCAGTTTTGCCTGGGTATTACATAAGCATGAAATTGAGTTCCAGCTCTTCTGCTCTTTAGCTTGTGTGACAATGGCAACTGTCTGTGCCTCTCCAAATCTCCATAGTGCATCTGTGAAATGATATTAATAATTTACAAGACTTGCTTTATATTGGGAGATTTCAGCAAGATAATGTACATGAGGCTTTTGGTGCTTAGTAAGCATCCAATTAATGCTAGCAAATGATGGTATTTCCTTCATTCCCTTTCACAAATAGGTAGGAGCATTATTCCCTTTTAGGAATGAGAAAACTGAGATTCAGAGAGGTGAGGCATTGGCTCAGGGTCACACAGCTGGTAATTGACAAAGCTGTGAAGAGGAAACTAACACACCAAAGCTTGTTTTGGGGGAAGGGGGAATAAGAAGCATACATTCCTAGGATCAGTTTTTGATTATAAAATTTCAAATTTATTTCTAGGAAAAGTTGCCTTTCCTGATTGATCATGATTCTTCCTCTGCCTAATGATAGTCTTCAAATTTGCTTTTTTGCCTTAATGCTGGATGCCCAGAAGTTTTATTTTCAGTTGCAGTTACTACCTCACCCTCATTATACTTCTCTGATTCTTATATTCTTATTTAAATGAGTCTACTGAGTATGTGACTGTTACTATAATCTGCCTCTGATCTTTTTGAGAAGTAGGTACAAGGTAAATCCTAAATCAATAACAGGTCAGACTTGGAGCCTGAGTGGTCTTTATCACCAAGTCCTCTTTTTACAGCCTTTGAGAATCGGCTCTGTGTTGTTGTGTGTAACTTTTGAGGCTCTGGGTTATATCTTTCCCCACTGACAATGTATATAGCTTTTGTTTTTTCCTTTGGCAATGTTCTTTTTTTTTTTTTTTGAGACAGAGTCTCACTTTGTTGCCCAGGCTAGAGTGAGTGCCGTGGTGTCAGCCTAGCTCACAGCAACCTCAATCTCCTGGCTCAAGTGATCCTCCTGCCTCAGCCTCCCAAATAGCTGGGACTACAGGCATGCACCACCATGCCCGGCTAATTTTTTGTATATATATATTTTTTAGTTGGTCAATTAATTTCTTTCTATTTTTAGTAGAGACGGGGTCTTGCTCAGGCTGGTTTCGAACTCCTGACCTCGAGCAATCCGCCCACCTCGGCCTCCCAGAGTGCTAGGATTACAGGCGTGAGCCACCACGCCCGGCCGCCAATGTTCTTTTATTTAAATAAGTCAGTCAACTGGATGGATTCCTTGAACATTTCTATTAATTGAGATTTACTGAAATAGTTTCTTCTGCTTTTCTTTCCTATTAATGTAATCACTTTTTGGGTACCATTTATTAACTTTGTACACTAGATGTGAAGAGCCTGGAGGTGCTGAGCTGATATTTTACAGTTTTTCCCCAGATTCTCACAATAGCACTATACGGTGAAGGAGACTTGTTAGGCTCCTTTGACTGATGAGAGACCTGAACATCACAGAAGTTAATGCTCAATATCAGATAGCTAGTGAGTGGCAGAAACAAGGTAAGAATTGGGGTCTGTGTTACTCCCTTTCTTCCTGTTATTATCTCCCCATACAAGCTGTATTTGGATATTGGTCTTTCACGTCTGTATCAGAGGCCCTGAAAAGTTTTGAGCAGGAATTCATTTTGATCAGGCCAGATTTCTGCCTCCACCTTGTTCA